TTGTAAAGGGGGGGGGGGGGGACTTCTTCTTTTTTTATCCTCCATAGAATCTATATATTTTCTAAACTTCAAATTCTATATCCTTTAGTGGATCTTCTATGTCCAAAGTGTAAGAAGTCCTTTACAAAAGAGGCTGCTCTACGGAGACACAAAGTGACCCATCTGGACAAGAAAGTCACCTTGACCTGTCCCAGAGAAGACTGTAAACTGACATTCACTACAGTCTTCAACCTGACTCATCATGTAAGAAAAGAGCACCTTTGCTTGCAGCCCTACCATTGTTACCATGCTGGCTGTAATCGCACCTTTGCAATGAGGGTATGTATGGGGCAAAGATTTGCTTCTTTGTTGATAGCTGGGGAGCTGGACTCTGGTAACAAATTATTCTTTTCTTTTAGGAAAGTCTGCTTAGACATCTTGTGGTTCATGATCCCAACAAGAAGAAAATGAAGGTAGGAATAAGACTAATATGTTTGGGGGATGTTGTTGCTGTTCTAAATGGTAGGTTTATTTTAATAGGTAGGTTTATTTTAATAGAGAACTATGTGGTTAGGGCTTTTCCCCATAGTTCTCCTAAGGGTAACGGGAGGACACAAACTAGCGTCCTCCCGTCACCCAAAGCTCAGTATACCGCGAGCTACAGCTTGCGGTATACTGAGACGCCACAGCTGAAACGGATCCCGACAATTATGTCTGGATCCACCCAGCTGCGTGAGTGACAGCTGGCTCTGCCTATCTAGAGCCCCTTCCCCGTCCGTTCCGCCAGTCAGCGCTGGAGAATCGGACAGGGGAGGGGGGAATCCAGTCCCTCCCCTGTAACGGCTCTCTGAAGTGACAGGATGGAGAAGTGAGCCAGCGCCTGTATGTGTTCGCTCATACCGACAGGTTGGCTAATGAGCCGACCTGTGATAGTTTAATTGTCCCAGGTCGGCTAGAACTATGAGGCTGAGTAAAAATCACTCACCTCATAGTTCTCCAAGGAATCGTCAAAACAACATCGAACCCATGCCTAGTGAGAACCACAGTAGAGCCTTTTAAAACTGAAGTAAGTTTTGTAAAGTCAAGAGAGCCTAAAGTTTATGGTTGATGATCCAGTTCTTTTTCTCATGTCCTATTGTAAAAAGGATGGCTGCAGTGTTTGTAGGCTAGACCAATCACACTTCATCAAGGCTACAAATAACACCTAAACAAATTGGAACAGTGAAGTAGGAACTTAATTTGGAAAGGTATACCATGAAGACATGAGATGGAGGCTTAAAGTTATGATCCAGAAACATGAGTGTGTATAATAAATATATATCGATCTATATTTAGACCATATCAGAAAAAAAAAGATTTCAAGTCTGCTATTTTATTTCCCCCGCCCGAAGAAGTAGTGCCAGCTGTATCTGCTTGAACTTCTCAACTGCCACTACATCGTCTCTACAGTGCCGCTCATTTGCCATCACCCCTCAATAGCATCTCTCATCTCCACTTTTGTCTATAGTATTGCCCATCTCCTCTATCTGATCCTTTTTTCCTCCTTTTACATAGCGTTACTGCATCTCCTATCCATAGAAATACTAATCTTCATAGTTCCACTCCTCCTCTCCTTCCTCTCCTCTGTCTACCCCTTTCTACCCCTATCCATAGTATTATTCATATTTTCCGTCTTCCCCCTTTCTCTTCATAGTGACATCTACCCCCTCCACTGGCTAATTAACTGTAAATGGCACATTTGCCAGAAGGGACTGACACCGTATTTGCATCCTTCACTGCTCCTGATAAGTGATTTGGATTGGCACCATACTGAGAGGAAGGCTGTAAGGGTGGGATTAAATCTGCTCAACTGTCTGTCTGCCCCAGAAATAAATAGAAACATAGATATTGAGTTACCTGCTTATAGCCGTGTGTGGGCTGCCTATATGGATGTTGCAATTATAACTTGGCCCTCAATTTAGAAACTGGCAAGTATACAATTTGTGGTCTCTATCTTACAATATAATTTTACCCACAGCTCAAATTCAACTTAAAACCATCAAAGAAGCACTTCAGAAGAGCCCTTTGCCAACTGCCTGTAGTGGAGCAAGACCTGAGTCGTCTGTTTAATCAGAAACTTTGTTTCCGAAGTAAAACTCTTCTGGAGAGTAACCTTTCTATCCTCTTCAATGAACGGCTGTTAAGAGATCCTGCGGATCCAGAAGTTAACCTCAGCAACCTCTTCCAGCGTTTTCCTGTCCGTCCTGAGAAAACGGCCTAAAGGTCAAAAAAGTCTCAAATGCTGGACCTCATTTGCTACTAAACAAATTACTCCAATTGTCTACAACATGCTATCCAGAGATGCCAGATTTTCTAATTTCTTATTGTGAAGACCACACCTGCTTGGCTTTTGTCGGCAGTAATATTTGACAAATGAGGTCCGCTTATGATTTCATTCTAAAATATGGAGACTGACAGTAGATCCCTGCAGATCTCCTTTTGATTAACAAAATGCAGGCCAGGAAATGAAACTGGCCGTAACAATTTTCATGCCAGAGATTTATTTATTTTCCCTTCAGGGAGCCTGTGTATGTGCTTAACCTGATAATCTTATAGCAAATGGCTTTTTTTTTTTACATTTTGTGTGGGATTTTGTTTGTGAAAGTTTGTTACTATATAAAGTATTGTAGTTACTTTTTGCCAAAGGTAGACCTGTCAGAATGCCAGTGTGGTAATGTCAAGACGACAATAAATTTTATTTATTCTATGTGTGAGTACCTTATTTTTCTATAGCCTGGGTTTATGCAACTTGGTTAGCTGTGTAAGTTAACATTCTCTCTGCTAAAAGCTTTTCTACCAACATTCTGAGATGGGGTAGAGAAGAGGAGTTTTAAATGCATATTTAAGCAAAATGGACACCCTTACACAAGCCAAACATTTTAAACAGGCAATCTAGGGACAACCAGTCTAAGGGGGCACTCTGATGGGGACAATTACTTATTAGTTGTCCTCTTTAGAGTGCCCCCTTATATTGCTGCCATTTGAGTGCATTAAAAATAAGGGGGCACTCTGATGGGGACAACTATTATAATGGGGTATCAGCATGCCTCCTTACATTGCTTGTCCCCATCAGGATGCCCCCTTCTATTGGGTGTCCCCCATCAGAGTGCTCCCTTTTTTTTTGTATTTTTTTTTTCAGTGAAGCCAACCACGATGTGGTACAACCACATCACACTGTGCAGTGACCTGTCACAGTCCGGCAGAGACAGCACGTGCGGTCACAGGAGGCTGAGCTCTCCTCCCTGCACCGCTTGCTCAGCCTCCTGTGACAGCGTGTCAGAAAGGAGAGCCAATGCAAACACTCAGTGATCGCTGAGTGTTTGTACATAATTGAGGACAGAGTGTGTTTTACTATATCCTCATGAATGAATGCCCTCCTGTTCATTCATAGTTGTGATAATAGTAAACACACTCTGTCCTCGTGTTATGAATGAACAGGAACACTCAGTATAGAGGATTCCTGTTCATTTATAACGGGCTGCAGAGAAAGAGATTGAGGACACAATCTCTTTTTCTATTTTAAAAGGGAAATATCAGCGATCTGTTTTAGACCCCTAATATTTCCCCAAAGCTCCTTAAAGAAAAAAATAGAAATCTTTAATAACTGAAAAAATAAATATAAAAAAATTTAAAAGTTTATAAAAAATAAATTTAAAATAAACCTTTTTGGTTTTGAACTTTCCATTTCGGTGTACCTCTATAAAATACCACTCACATGATAACAATCGAAATGAACATTAAGGAGAACTATGACATGAGTGATTTCCACTCACGTCATAGTTCTAAGCCGACCTGTGACAATGAGACTGTCGACTTAGTAGATCGGGAGGTGAGCGAACAGATACCGGGTTCCCTCACCTCTCGATCCTGTCACGGCTCTCTGCCGTGACAGGGGGAGGGGCTGGATTCCCCTCTTCCCCGCTCTGATCTGCCAGCGCTGACTGGCGGAACGGACGGGGGAGGGGGCGGGTACAGCTGGCTCTGCCTCTAGATAGGCAGAGCCAGCTGTCACTCACGCAGCTGGGCGGATCCCGTAATCTAAGTCGGGATCCGCTCCAGGTGCGGCGTCTCAGTATACTGCGAGCTGTAGCTCGCGGTATACTGAGCTTAGGGTGACGGGAGGACGCTAGTTTGTGTCCTCCTGTTACCCCAAGGAGAACTATGGGGGAAAACACTGACCCCATAGTTCTCTAAGTTGCATGGCGAGTCCAGAGCTAGCTCTGAGGAAGGTGGTATCTATATTCCCCCCCGAAACGCATCAGCTAGTCGGTCTCCCTGGACTCGCTGTGTTGAGTCCAGGGAGAACTAATTTCGATTGTTATCATGTGAATAGTATTTTATGACCCTATTAATACTTGATTCAATGAAATTGTATTATACGAGGAGAAGGCGCTGTCTGTTTTACATTCTTCATTTAGAAGGGGTAGACGTATTTGATACAATTTTTGAGCTGATTTTATCCTGTTGATTACCTGTCCACTCACTTTTCTAGGTCCCGAACAGAACGGTTCAATGTACTGTACATTGCTCAAGTATGATAAAAGGGAAAATGTTTAATCACACTGGGAGAATATTGAATATTAAAAGATATTATACTTCTTAATGATCAAATGTGGTGTATATACTGTTAAAATGCCCAGGGGGACTTTAATATGAGAGAGACAACACAGAAAATGAAGAATTGTTTGTCACATGACAAGTATTTGATTCATCCTCCATAGCCTGAGCTTCCTTGAGCTAGGCATTTTACACAGTGCAAAAATTCTGTCCCACAATTGAGGTTTAAGCCACATGATAATCACGTAGAGGTGGAAATGGGGAGCTCCAGTTAAAATGGAGGAAAGTAAAATGGATTTGAGGAAATACAAGCAAAAATATTAAATGTGAATTTCCATTAACATTTATGCTTTAATTATTTTAGGCAACAGCTTCAGAGCTGTCAGACAATGAAATGCCGGGTGAAAAGACGATCAAACACAATCTTGCGCTTGACTGTCTGCAGTGGAGGACAGGGGAGAGATTGGGGGTTCACTGCCAATGCTATGCATAGGGGCAATAATTCACTGTAAACCTTAAACTGATTAGCATGAGTGTGTGCATTTTTAATCCAATAAGTGTTTATTAAAGGTTTTTACAAACAGACATATATACATACACAGAGCCTAGTATCCAAGGCGGATAATAGCCCGTAACATCATGAATTTGTATAGGATTACATGATACACAGCGTGTGATATGGCAATGGTATATTCGGGGTAAAACCTACACCTTCTATTCTGTCTAATCAGTGAGTGGCCGGACAGTAGCATTATTGTCCTATGCCTTCCAGCCATGTCGCCTCCACAGTGGAGGCCTTAATAATGCTGACATCAATAGTAGGGTAGATTGGCCTATACCAGCTCACTGAAATCCTGAGAATGTCACTAAATATAAAGTCCCATAATCACGCCTAAAGTGTATCATAAACGTAGAGACATAGGGGGAATATACAGGTAGAAAAATAGTAACGAAGGATGGAAGGGGAGAAAAAGCAGGGGACACGGAAGGGTCAGGGGGTAAGGAGTCACCTCACTAGGGGGAAACACTGCATGGGGAGAGCCCACAGTGAAGGGTTTCAAGGCGCGCCCCCCCCAAAAACGAGGCAATGTCCCGGGTACCGGCGGATTCCGGAGCTGTAGAGGGAGGCAGCCGTGCTGACATCCACCGCCGGGAGAGGAGAGGTAGTGAGAGAGTCCCTTAAAACGAGCCCTGGGGTCGCAGCGCTCCGTTCAGCACGTCCTTAGCCCGCCATGCTCGGCCACGCCCCCGAGTGTGTGCATTTTTAAGGCTTGTCATGGTATCTATTTACTCGACGTAACCCCATCTTTTATATAAAAAATAAATGGCAATTATATTGTGCTGGTGTGCACTAAAAATCATTTTAGTGTATTTTTGGTGGTGTGTTTCACTGAGATCTTATTTAGATCCTAAATAAATAAACTCAATTTCAGTCACTTCAAATAGAGATGCCTTCTGCCTGCAATACTCTAGGTGGCGCTATTATATTGTGAATAACCACATGTCACTTAGCTTAAACTATATCAAAACCCAAGAACAAAAATGTAATATATTGCAGCTTACCGGTCCTAACATGTAGTGGCACCATCAGTTTTCTTTTTTCATTACAGTACATTTTCTGCAAGTAAGAAAGAATGATTGTTGCTAAAAATCCATTATCCTTGTAACTTTCTTTATACTGAACTGAAATCTCAAACAAATCAATTTTACAAGATATATTCTGTAATCTACATGCCCCCATGTAATGGAGATGAGCAAAAGGGGAGGTGTTTGTAGTCTAAAGCAGCCTCTGGGTGCCAGTAGCCCCTATCTTAATATTGGTTGCACCTGTCTGCCTGATATCATGTGTCCAGGTCTCAGCTGCCATGAAACCTGGACACAGCATTAGTGATGAGCCGAACACCCCCATGTTTGGTTCAAATTCAAACTTTAGAACATGGGAAAAGTTCGAACTTGAACTCAATGCAAGTCTAAGGGGGTAGAACTTTGAAAATCAAATGTCCCTATTTTGAAGCCTTATATGCAATTGGCCTTAAAAAGTGTATGGGGATCCGGGTACTGCCCTGGGGGAAGTTTATCAATGAAAATCTTTTTTTTTTTCTCTTTCTTTTTTAAAAAAAATACAGTTTTTAAAGGAGCAGGGATTTTAACATCACTTAAAGGATAAAAATTAAAAATTCCTTTAACTATGGTTCTTGGGGGGACCCCTTAAACTGCCTGTAAAGTGGCAAATTTGTACAATGTACAGAACCTGCTGCAGCAAAACTGACATTTCTGAAGAAAAAAAATTACTTTTTTTTAAAGTGTTCGGTTCCACCTCCCAAACAATACCAGACCCTTTAGGTCTGGTAGGAGTTTTTGGAGGGACCCCATATAAAAAACAAAACAAAACAAGTGTGTGGATTTCCCCTTAAACGAGAACTATGAGGCGAGTGATTTCCACTCACCTCATAGTTCTAGCCGACCTGTGATAATGAGACTGTCACAGGTCGGCTCAGTAGATCGGGAGGTGAGGGAACAGCTGCTCGCGGTATACTGCGGCGTCTCAGTATACCGCGAGCAACAGCTGACGGTATACTGAGCCTAGGGTGACGGGAGGACGCTAGTTTGTGTCTTCCCGTTACCCTAAGGAGAACTATGGGGAAAAGACTTAACCCCATAGTT